TGGTACCAGGGATTGATCTTGGGCCCTTGTGCTAGTGAGGCAGGTGGTGAAACCACTGAGCCAAATCCCCGGCCCCATTTTCATCTAATTTTTAACAGCCATCCCTAGATCAAGTTATTAGGGGAAGAAAGAATAAATCCCATCAATTTGACCAGTGCATTTAGTTATGCTAATTATTCTTGTAAAAACAAAGTGAAGTATTTCCTAGAACTACCATGGTTACTCAAGATACAGTGGGTAAAACCCAAGGATAAAAAGCCCTCATGAGCTGTGGGCTGTAGCCCAGTGGTAGAGCGTCAGCATGGGCAAAGGCCCTGGGTTCAATCCTAAGCACTATGAATATCTACCTGATGTCTTTCAGTCAATAAAGATGTACAGTGAAGTAGTCTATAACCTATGTTACCATAAAACATTTGTAATATAGCATGTATCAGTTATAATTTGTAATATTAAAGTAGTGTAAATTACAATATAAATAAGTAACGCATAATTTTCATTTGTACTTCATAAAATATTTAATAGTTTCTACATTCCTTTAGCAAGAAAAAAAAATCACCAGCAGGTGAACCTATTAGTACTTAGCATACATGTGTCCTGACATTTAGAGAGCTGCCTTTGTCAGTCAGGTTACATGGAGACAGCATTCGTAAGATAAAGGACCCTCGTCGCAGCTTGTTTCTTTTAATACAGTGAAAGAATACGGACAGATACCACACTGGCACTAGTATAAAGAACCTACACCATGCCGAGCAGTTTCCGATCCCTGACAGGAGCCCTGGGTCTGGAGGCAGCAGAGCACGCCTGCTGGGCCCCCTCCCGAGTCTGGGGGTCTCCGGAAGAGAAGCCCCTCCACACTTCCGGCTTCCTCACTCAAGAGGAGGAAGCCAAGTTGTGAGGTCACGTGACGAGCAGGAAAGCTACACTACAGGGATACAAATTCTGCTCCGTTACATGAAAGTAACAATAATGTTAGCACTCACAAAAAACAAAGCAACTCCTAGAAACAGCAACAATTTCTGACATGTAACTCAGATTAAAACGTTTTTAACATATTACTTTAATAAGTCTTCCAATACATTCTTATCTATTTATGTGAACAGTTTTCTCATTAATTACCCATGTGTACAAACATGGAAACCAGGAATGGAAGTGATCTGCTCTCTATTATGATTAAATGAAGAATCTCTCTTTTTTTTTTTGGTACCAGGGATCCAACTCAGGAACTTATAGTTACGAGGCAGGCAGCAGAACCACTGAGCCAAATCCCCGGCCAATCTACTCTGTTATATTCTAACCATGAATCCTACGCAACCACACACAAAGCTCTAGTGGAGAATGGGAGGGTCACTCATTTCACTGAAACATGCATTTCTAATAAAAATGTACTCTCTGTGCAAGTAATGCCAAAATTTATGACTTGACCAACTATGTCACTGCAATGACACCTTAATCCAAAAGAAAAATAGTAGTACTTAGGGACTTATAACCGTAGGCACCAAAACAAACTTTCAAACTTCAATTATGCATTACTGTGGCACAAAGTATAAAACAGAGATTCTAGCTCAACAATACATTATTATGTTTAAGGGAAGAAGTAAAACCTCAAGAAGAAATGGAATACACAAGCTTCCAAATGTTAAAGAAAAGTTCATGGCTTATTTAAGAAGAATGGTCGGTGGCCTGCCTTGCAAGCACAAGGACCTGAGATCAATCCCAGGTACCAAAAAAAAAGAATGATGGTACATACTGCTCCTGTGCATACATTTACATGAGTAACGTAACATCTGTATTATACTGTATCGTATTGGTTTTAATGAGGCAGGGTCTCACTGTGTAGTTCAGGCTGGCCTTGAATTCACTATGTAGCCTAGGCTGGCCTCAAACTCACAGTGATCCTCCTGCCTCAGCCTCCTGAGTTCTGGGATTACAGGCATGTGTCACCACACTCAGCCCAACATCTTTATTAAAAAGTCAACATATGGCATAATTTCACCATTTAAGTTTGTAAAAAATGTTAGATATCCATCATAGTTATTCAGCTTGTTTTTTGGGAACAGGGTCTCACTATGCAGCCCAGGCTGCCTTGCAACTCAAGGTGATCCTCCTCCTGTCTCAGCCTCCCAAGTGCTAACATGATTATGGATGTGTGCCATCACACCCAGCTGTTTTTTGAAGTGTTCTGGGGCGAATACTGAAGCAAAAATGTGAAATTTGCCCCTCTAAAAACCAAAAATGTTTGGCTTTAGTAAGGGTGCCTTTGTAGCTGGAAGATTTAAAAAACTGCTCCAGGCTCTCCTGTTTTGTTTTTGGTACTGGGGATTGAACCCAGGGCCACTGAGCTACCCCCCACCCCCATGATTCTGTCACCAGGCTGCCCAGCTGGGCTCGGCCGCCCAAGTGGGCTCACAAGCCCCACAGTCCAGCTGAGCCAGCTGTTCAAGCACAGCTGCAGTTCAGAGATGCCCAGAGTCTAGGCAGGGCACCTGGGACCTCACAGTCAACAACTGGCCCACTGCACAGAGAGGATGGTGCTGCGTGTTACGCGCATGCACCCGCACGCACCCTCGGGGGCACTCCACATTCTTTCTACGCTATATCCAGGACAGGGACAGTGCCGTGTAGGCGTCCACTGCAGAACACTGCTTTCGGAAGTAAATTACCATACCTGTGCAGCACAGACACCTGTCCCTGGACACAGAGACAGACCGCAGTCACAGCTGAGCATCTCCTAGGCCTTAGCACCCCTGCACCTAGGCGAGCTGCACAACCCCAGTGGCTACAGACACCGCGTGCACAACTGTCCTGGTCGCCAGGGCTAAGAAAACAGTCAGGATCAGTGCCGAGATTTAGCCAAAGCAAAACGGCCGTGAAGAGGCCACGTTCCTACTTAAGAAAAAGAAATAATAAAAACTTCAATCCACACATCTCTAGTATTTTCTGTTACTTAAGCAGCTTATCTTAAATCAGGAGTTTTTCAAAACCCAATAACAAGAACAACAAATCAGTCTTACAGAAAGAAAGTAAGATTGATTTGATTCAGAAATTTTTTGCTCTGCTACTAATGAACCTGTAGTCTTGGGTTTCCTAAACTCTGCATATCTAACTTTTATAAATCAGGGATAATGTCTGTATCATGGAATTAAAATGGACATTAATGAAACATTCTAAGTGCTCAATGAGTAGTAGGTTCCTTCTCTCTTCAAAATCTACTGTACTGCTAAAGGAAGGAAGAAATAATTGTGATTATTAGCAAAGGGCTTTACAAAATGATATTTACAATAAAATGGTAGAATGGTATGTAAAGCAAGATGGTAAAAAAAAAATAGGAAGAGAGAATTTAGCAGAAGCAATGTGAAGGGTTAAAAGATGGAAGCTATGTAAGAGAGAAACAGAAAACAACCATCACTGGGAAGAGCAACACGAAGAAGAAGGCACCGCTCACTCTTTCAGTCAGGGCCAACTTGCCCTTCACACAACACTTTTACCAGATCTACCTCAGTATGGAGGCAAACGCTTTCAAGAAATAGGTTTATTCACAGTATACCCACTGGCTTTTCAATGAACACTTTTAGTGCTGCAGCTGGTGTTCTTTTCAGGACAAGAACATTACAATGTACCATCAGATCAACTGACCGGGATCCCTCTGCTGCTCACACACACAGGAGATACAAACTCAAGGTCAGTCCACGGATTCAGGCTTCTGCTTTGCAGAGCTTCAGAACATAGCAGCAGGGTTCTTCATACTCAAGGCCGGAGGCTGTCAGTACACAGTAAGCACAGGCCTTAAAATATTACGGCTGCCCTGAAAACATATGATACCATTTCTGTACCAGGGATCGAACTCAGGACCTTGTGTTTGTGAGGCAGGCACAGTACTACTGAGCTAAATCCTCAGTTGCTCTGAAAACATAAACTACAGATATCTGGAGACAGTTCAGTTACCCCTGGTCAAATAAAGAGTACAGAACATTAACCTGAAACAGGAGAACTCTAGCAGATAGAAAGTAACAAACCTTTAAAAAAAAAAAGGACAATATAGAAGAAAGGGATCAAAATAACACATTTCACCCCTCATTTAAGAATATTAAACAAATTAATCAACGATGCAAGGGTGGGGCCAATTTCATCTTTACCCTCTCTCATTCTGAAAACCATGTCAAAGGATACTTTCCATTAACAATAATGCCAAGCACAGAAATATCAACAGGACATTGCATTAGCTAAATAGGAAAATCCTGGCTGCTTGATCCTAAAAAAGATATACAATGACCTTTAAAAAGAAAAAAGAAATGAGTTTCCCATGATACAGGGGTGGATTAGCAAATTGTAAAGCAGGAACACAACAGATTACTAGTTACACAGTGGCTAAAAAGACTACAGTATATATGAAGAACTGCATATAATTCAATAAACATAAGAGCAAAATACAAAACGGTATGCAAATTATAGTCACAATTACATAAAATGTACAGGACTGGCTTCATAAACTTATTTTCTGTCTCTTACGAATTATGGTCACACAGTCTAACCTTTTGAATTCCGCAGAGTAAGAGCAGCGACCTCACATACCTTTCTGTGGCGGCAACACTGGCTGAGGAGAACCCAAGGCCACAGGCTCCCCAGGGTGCTGCCCAGCAGGTGGCGCCCGTGGTGACCGGGATCCTGGCAACACAGTGGACATAGCCGGGCTGGACCTGGGAGGCGGGACACTCTGCGTGCCAGGACAGGCTAGAGGGTCTGCAACTGGAGACAAGGAACTATTCATTCACAGCGATGAACTTGAAATATATTCAAAAGCTTACTAACAAAATCCAGCTTATTAGAAGTTGTGTGGCATATTTATTTTGTCTATGTAGAAAAGAAAGTGGTCCAAAGACTTTCCAAAAAAACTGAAATTGTTTTAATACTTCTTCATGGCAATTTTCCTGAAATACGTCACTTCTTACCTCTGTAGACAAAATGAACCCCAACAGCATCTCCTCACTTATGACCGCTCCTGCTACTCACTGCGCCAGGCAACAGTGTCTCAGGTAAGACATCAGAGGTCACCTACTGCAGGAAAAAATCCTGAAGCCCACAAACACTTCCTGTGTCAGCTCTGACCTCCGTCTGCACTGTCAACTGCCACCACACACGGGCTGTCTCTAAGCAGATGCCCCATGTCACATGTGACCACAACACAGACTGGACTTCAGGAATGACGTACACACAAATACAGCAGCCGCTGTGATAGTCAAATTACTAACGGCCTATGCAGGGCAAACTTCCCCTAGTTGAAAAACACTATCCCATAGGGTACTCTTCAGGACTACAGAGCCAGGGCTAACCAAAAGCTTCGGTAAGCAGTGACAGCATGCTGAATAAACACATGTGCAGGCACATGCATGCACATGTATGTAAGGGTGATGCATTATGCACACCTGTAAATAAACAGGTCTAAGATGGAAGCCAACATAGGAAACGGGGACAGAACAAAGTGTGTTCCACTGCGTGTCCCCTGAGTAAATGGATAAGGGAAATGAGGAGAGGGAGTGAGAGCCTCACCATGGGAGGCTATCTTCACAGTATTCTGCTGTTCCTCTCAAGAAGGGGGATTCTATTTTCCCACCCTCTGGATTGGAAATAATCTTGTGGCTGGCTTTAAGCAGTAAGCTGTGGTAGAAGTAAAGGTATGCACATCCCAGAAGAGACTGTAGACCCTCATGCCCGGAAGTGGATCCAGTCCAGGGAGAAGAGTCTATGCCAACTGCTGTGCTGCCGGGAGCAGCCTAGGCTCTCGCGGCCCAGTGACTCCTGCTCAATGAAGTCATGCGAATGAGCCCCAGATAACCCGCAGAGGAACTGCCCAACTAACCAAAAACCACACAAAAGCAGCAACACACTAATGATACCCTTAAAACTGCAAATGTAACCGGCAACAGAAGTACCTACCATGGATGGAAGATGTCACTCACTGGCAGAACACTTGCCTGACCAGATTAGGAGCCTGGGTGCAGTCCCCACCATCACACAAAGTAGATGAAAATAGTTGGGGACATGCAGGTGTGGACCCAGTCAGCTGAGGCTGGGTGCACACATGAATCTGCAGGTGCACACACGGACACACACGGACCCTGGAGCAGACAGGCAATGCTTGTGAGCCTGCCTTTCCCTCTGCCACAGGTGGCCCAGTGCTGAGGACCTCATGGAATGCCTGTCCTGCTTGGATGGACACAGCTGTGTCTACTATCCCCTGCTCTGTGAAGAGTGCACCCACAGACAGGTGCCCCCAACCCTTATGTCCTCTGTTCTAAACTCTGTGAAAATAGCATACTGCATGTACCCTACCACGACTGCCTAGCTGTATTTTACCAGAGACCCCTTAAGAGGCAGTCCACAACTTTAAGGTTAAGAAAATTACCAGGAGTGGGGTTCAAACCCACACATACATATGTCCATTGGATCTTAAGTCCAACGCCTTAACTATTCGGCCATCCTGGTGCAGCCACCAGTCTGCAACTTTAAAAGGGTCCAATGAAATGATCCTTTTTAAACAGCAACTCAAGGAAACACTAAACATTGCACCCAAGACATATATACTTGGGAGTAAATTTCTTAATAAAACAATCAAAGTTCTATGTTGAATCACAAACACATTAATATGCTTTCCTTTTGCTTTTTTGTTCTTTAATTTTTTGGTGCTGAAGACTGAACCCAGGGCCTCATGCTTCCTAAACAAGTGTTCTACCACTGAGCTAAATCCCCAGTCCTAATATGATTTCCTAAAGATGCAAATGAGATAACACTTCAGTTTCTTTTATTCCACATTTAGAGTGTGAACTCATCATTTTTTTAATGGTGGTGGTACAAGGGACTGAAGCCAGGGCCTTTGCACTGAACTATATCCCTAGCATCACACACTTTAACTTCTTATTTTGAGGCAGGGTCTCGGGCTCAAACTTGTGATTCTTCTGCCTCAGCCTCCATGGTGCTGGGATTACACGTGTGCCATGCTCACCCTAAGACTCTTATTTAAAATACTCTGAAAGTCCAGAAAAGGCTATCTTTCTACACCATAGGGCTTGACTATGCCTATTTGGTAATCAAGGACGTCATCCAGAACACTACCAGTTTTGTATCTGCCACACTTCAGGAAACACCCACTCCCCCGAAACAGGGTCTTGCTGTGTAGTCTGGGCTGACCTTGAACTATGTAGCCCAGGCTGGCCTTGAATTTGTGGAGATTCTCGTGCCTCAGCCTCCCAAGAGATAGGATTACAGGTGTGCACCACCACACCTGCCAGAAAGTGTAACTTATAAACCACCTACAGTGGTACCTCAGTTCATGAACTTAATTCTTTACATGACTCCGGGCACAATCCAAATCACATTTAATGGTCAGGTTCAATGCTGACCTTGTGGGGAGATTTGATGCGTCTCTCATCCACTTCAGTTTGGGACCAGAATCACGGAGAGATTTAAGCTCGTGAATCAAGGTACCTCTGTATCATACACACACAATTTTTAAACCACACCCCTGAAGGTCAGGAAGGCCAACTACTGAGGCACTCGCCATGTGTCTTACGTTGTCTGGTTCTTATTCTTCATCCTCGTTTACCAATTCAGAAGGAGAAAACAGCTTCCGGGTGCAGGAAATGTACCTCTGTAAGTCTCCAGAGGCTCACTTGGGGAAGTTGACAAAATGGTGCTGTGTTCATTTTTTCTGTGAGGGGCTCGGACTGGAAACATATCTACCCATTCTGAGCTAATATAAGAGAAAGCAACGGCCAGCACAGTAAATCCTCCAGGCGCCCTGCACCCAGTCCACACTAAAGACAAGTATGGCGAGCTGTGAGACCGTGAGCAGACACCAATCGTGACCACGGCAGGACTGGGCCAAGTGATCGGTGCGGGAAAGGGTGTGGGGGTCGGCAAATACACAGAGAATTCAGCAAACAACACACTGCTGCGGGGAGCCCCTCTCCGCCGTTTCTGTCAGGCTCCACCGTCTGTAACATCACATATAGTAACCTGCGCGGCCCTGGATGTGAACCGCATTTTGGGGAACTTTCCGGACCTACCTGGATTTGCAGGGCTGCTGCCGGCAGAGTTCTGGAGACCTTCCCGGGCCGGAGGGAGGCTGGGCAGCGGCCAAGGAGGGGCGCTGTACCCTGACAGGCTCTGCTGCTGGGATGGGGGTGCAGCGGGCCCTGCCGGGCAGCTCAGAGGTGCGAGCTGTGCACCCCAGCCCGGAAAGGAGCCCCCTGCAGCACTCTGGGCCGTCAGTGCTGGCAAGTAGGGGCTCCCGGCAGGCAGAGGAGAGCGGGAGGTGCTGGGGTGCGCGGCACTAGAAACAGTGGGCACCGGGAGAGGGCCACAAGCAGCAGGAAGTCCCTGAGAGGCAGCGGAGTTGGCAGTGTGGAGGGTGGGACTGCTGTGGTAACTCCCAAATGAAGGGTACAGCGGGGAGGCGCCGGTGTGCGCAGCCCCCGGGGCCAGAGGCAGAGTGGGCGCGGGTGCCGGATAGAGACCCGAGTAGTAACCGCAGGCCGGGCCGTCCAGTGGCAATGCGGCCGCCTTCCCTGGTCCCGCAGAGTACAGTCCTGAGGGAGCAGCAGAGCTCTGACGATGCAGTCCGTACCCCGCCGGAAGCTGCATCTGACCCTGGGCCGGACCTGGAGAAGAGAAAGCCAGTCATCAGCCATGGCGTGGGTAAAGGTCGGCTCACACGCAACGAAGCCCCTTCAGTGCTGCTCCCAAGTGAGCTCTCTAATGAAACAGGACACAGAAGTAAACTGTTTAATAAAGCCACACGCTGAGCAAGTAACAGGGCTGGATCCGAGTCAAGCGCGGCTCGAGTCTGGGCTCCTCACCAAGCACCTGCTGCTGCTCACCTCAGTGCAGTCCAGCTTTCTTTTCCCACCGAGTAGCCTGCTATCCCGACAGGGCAATTCTAGTCTTAGTTCTAACATTTTTTGTTGTATTTTGGGGAAGCTGTACCTATCCTCAGATCTACTCTTCCTACCAAGAAGAAAATATTTATATATGCCATACCTTAAATGAAAGAACAGCAACAAGAGATTCACAAACTATATAAAGAGGAAGAATAACTGTTTCCTTTGTCATAACATATAAAATACCTGCTTGTAAAACAGGTAAGAATAATGCTTACATTTCCAGGTTGTTTTTAATTTCTACTAAATAATGTAGTAGAATCTTCATTTTGGGTCATGTTACTATAGATAGCAAGGTCAGAGATCAACAGGCAGTCAGTGGCAGGGCTCCCCAGGAAGTCAGTGTAAAACTTGTCACAGTAAGACTGTGCTGCAGACTGAGGTGAAGACACCGTCGCCAGGCCTGCAGCCTCCCCGCCATAAACAGCGGCTTGAACTGCAAAGGCCACTACCAACTGGGCATCAGATGCACAGGCGGGCGGGCAGAACAACTGGACCCGAATGAATGCTCATCCCTTTCCAGGAAAGCTTTGTTCGTTCTACAACTAAAAGTGAGACACACTAACGACAGCGATGCTCACCATGTGCCCTTGCTGTGGGCCTTGTTCCTGAGTGGGTCAGCGTTAGCTGAACTAGACCTGTGACCCTACTGTTAATGACAGACCCGCACTGTGATTCTGCTGTACAAAGAGCCTCAGTGGCCACCCACACAGGATCCCTCCAAACTCTCATCTGTGTTGAGACCACGAGCTCACAAGCTGCATACACACGGCAGTGTAATGTACACAGTCTACAGACAACACTTCTAAAACTCCAAGAATTATAAAGGAAACCCAAATTCACGTGACATCTTACTCGGCTCATGATTTATTTTCTTACAGGTGTTTTGTGTAATCACAATTTACCCGAACCAAATTACTTCGAAGGCATGAGCCTGTTAGGAATTTTTCAGTAAGCTGCCAAAAATATGTGAAAAGTTTTTCCCTCCCCCATGTAAATAAAAAGATGGGTTTGCTTGCTTTCACTATAGTCTCTGACTACACTGGTAGAATTTATTGATGATCTAAATACATATCTACCCACTTAATTACTGATTTGGCTCATGCAGGCGACATGATCTGAAAACAGAAATAATCACCCTCTCCAAACTTCAAATGTCATTCTTCTAAAAAAGGCAGAAATGCATATCTGCTAAAATTTAGCAGAGGTGAGTTACCCATGGGAGGAAACCTTTTCAGTTCCTGGTTCATCAGAGAAAACATAGTGTTTACTTTGGGGACTTGCGCATCTGTGAGACTCACTTTTCTTTACTTAGTACCAGGATCTACTATTTCCAAAGTCTGAGAAACACCTGAAAACGCAGATGTCCTACTCAGGGTCTGTACCTCACTGCCGAGTGAGGGCACATGTGGTGGAGGGTGAACCTCACAGTGGGAATTCTGACCCTTCCAGCCACAACTGGGTGGGGCAGGAGCCAGGGTGACATCAGACCGACTGGCAGGGCCAGAGCCCCACATGCAGCACTGCACTACGCACCAGCATCTTCGGGATCTCTGGCACTTACTGTTCTATGCCACGACACTTCATTAATGTTTTATGCTTTATGGGTCTGGGTGAGGTCACTTCATCTGACTGCAGGCTAATGCAAGTTTTCGGAGCATGTCTAAAGCAGGCTAGGCTAAGCTATGAGGTTTGTAGGTCAGATGTATTAAAGGCTTTTTCTACTTAATATTTTCAATTTAAGATGGATTTATTGGAATGTAACCCCATCACTCATGGAGGAGCATCTGTAATTAAAATTATTAGGAAAGAGGGGCCAGGGATTTAGCTCAGTGGTACCGCCACCTGCCTCACAAGTGCAAGGTCCCAGGTTCGACCCCTGATACCAAAACAAAAAAACAAACAAAAATAACAGGAAAGATGAATGTATACTGTTTAAACGTGCTCAGTATTTAGAATTACTGAGCTATTTCACTTCTATATCACCTCAAAACCCACCATGGAGGCGCAGGCCTGCGACCCCAGCCAAGTCTGGAAAACCAAAGACGCCTCTGGGCTGAGATGCAGAGGCACAGGCCCGCTGTGGCCCAAGACTGCCCTGCTGTATGGCGGTTTCACAGCCCTGGCTGATGATTCTGGCTGGTTCCGCTCTCCTCACAGACCTAGTATTTTATTTTGTCCTCAGTTTCCCCTCCCATTCTTTGCTAGCATCATTTCCATGTCCCCATCATCTTACTTAGGCTCGTCAGCATCCTAGCACTCTGTCACAGGAAGAAAGTGTTTTCCTGAGAGGATGACCACAGTGCACTGTGCACTTTTGTGTTTTCTTTTTTTTTTTTTTTTTTTTTTTTTTTTTTTTTGAGACGGTCTTGCTGTGTAGCCCAGGCTGGCCTTGAACTCATGACGATCCTCCTGCCTCAGCCTTACAGGCATGCTCCACCACACTCAGCTACACATTTCTGTACAGACTGTTTCACTTATGTGAAGGTGATTCTTTGTAATTATTGAAATTGTCATCTTCCTTTGGATTCAAAATGATTTTGCAGCATTTATTATTGTTACCAAAATAGACATGGACAAAGATTGGGAGGAGAAAATAGTAACGTGTAGATTAGGTTTTTGAAAAATAATGAAGTATTTTTCCTGCTACCAATATGACTTATATAGTCACTTTTTAAAAGGTGCAGAAAATGATACAATAAAAACTGTTCATAATATTACCACCCAAACAACAGCCTCGTTTTTCAAACCAACATGCCACCAAAGAGGGAAGGAGCTCCTGTCCCTCTAGTGCCCGAGACAAAACGAAGGCTCTGAAGGCCAAGAAAGCAATGCTGAGCTGTCCGCTCCCTGTGAAGCAGGCTTGAGCACCGTGCCCAAGTCCCTGAGCCGCTGTGAGGACAGGAAAGCTACTGCTCTCCTCACGGAGATGGCCAAGGTCAGCACTCTGACCAGGCCTTGGGTCAATGGCTCCCGATGATGACGCTTTGGTGCTAACGAGCTGGGGTCATCTAGGTCAGGTGTGGTGACACGGGGCTGTAATCGCAGCACTCTGGGAGGGTAAGGCAGGAGGATCACAAGTTTGAGCATAACCTGGAAAATTTAACAACTTAGGGAGACCCCGTCTCAAAATAATATAAAGGGCTGAGGATGTAGTGCAGCGAAGGCCCTGGGTTCAGTCCCCAGTACCAAATAAATACGTAGGGATAATCTAAACCAAGTCCACGGGCTAACTAAATATATACTCTTTTCACCATTTAGAAAAGAGTACAGAAAATGATCAAATAAAATAATCCACAATCTTTACATCTGAGAAAATTGCTATTAAAATTCTCCGGCCCAGCTACCCAATAATTTTATTTTAACAACTACAAGCCTAATTAGTAGGCTTTGCATGAGCTGTTCGTCCACCATGACCCAAGCTCCTCTCCACCATCATTTTTAATGTCTGAATACTATTCTGTTCTGTGGATTTGCTTTATTTTAATAAATTATCCCTGGCCCATTTAGGTTGTTTTCAATTATTTTAAACATGAAACCACATGATGAAAAACAAATCTGTAGCTAAGTCTACATTCATTCATTTTACCTGCCTAAAAGTAATCTCCTATTAGTCATCCACAACTGGTACAAAGGTGCAAGAGCCCACAGGCAGCTAACAGCAGACAGACGAAGCCCAGGACACCAGCGAAAGAGAGGTAGCAGCACAGCCAGAGTGGGCCACGAGGACCCAACAGTGAACAAAGCTTCACAGCAGTCATCACAGATACTTTCAAAACGGAAAGGAAACCATATTCAGGACAAGTCGTTTCCTCCAAGACATGTACTTTCACCATTCGTATTCGGCAGTCATGGAAGTCTCAGCCAGAGCAGTAAGGAAAGAGAGAGGAACACAGGGCATCTGAGCAAGAAAGCAGCTCACATGATCCCTGCTTCCACATAACATGACTTTATGTACAAAAAAGAACCTAAGGATTCCACCAATAATCTGCCAAAACAGATCAATTTAGTAAAGCTGTAGGATAAAACATACAAAAATCAACAGTGTTTGTATGTACCATAATGAAATTGTTTAGAAAGAAATTAAGACAGCAATCCCATTCACGAGAGCTATAAAAAATAAAAAAATATCCATGAATAAATTTAACCAAGAAAGTGAATGATTTCTACAATGAAAAGTGTAAAAACATTGATGAAGGAAATGGAAGATGACCCCACCTACCTCACGCCTCAGACGGAAACCATTCCCATGTCCGTAAGCGAGAAGAATAAACGCTGTGAAACGTCTATCCTGCCCAAAGTGATCTACACACTCCACGCAATTCCTATCAAAACGGCAACGACATTCTTTGCATAAATAGAAAAAAACACTCCAAAACCTGAACAGATCTCAAAAAGACTAGAAATACCCAAACAACCCCAAGGAGAAAAACAAACAAACAGAAAAAAACCAAAAAACAAAGCTAGAAGTGTCGGGATGTAGCTGAGTGGTTCTGCCACCTGCCTCACAAGCGCAAGGTCCTGAGTTTCATCCCCAGTACCAAAACTGCCCCCCTCAGAAACAAAGCAAGAGGCACTGCAATACCTGACTTCAAAACATTCTACACAACCATCCTTAACAGCACAGTATTGACAGAATCAGTCACAGGCTGATGAGCTGAAAGGAAAACGCACCGAAGTAAGGCCAACTTTCTTCTTTCTATTTCCTCATTCTTGGAACT